TTTTTTTTTTTTTTTTTTTTTTTTTTTTTTTTTTTTTTTTTTTTTTTGCCATCAGCTTTAAAAATCTTGCAAATGTGTTGAATTTGTCCTCATAGACAGACTTGGCTCACCCAAGATCCTCCTTATAAAGTCCTCAGGCTGATTTTGCTTTTGTTTTGCTTTGGCAGGAAAAGAGGGAGCAAATGTGTCTATTTCAAAACAAAGCACTGGCTTGGGAAAGGCAACTTGTACCCTTAAAGAGATTTAGGGCCACCAATTCTGCAGTTGGCAATATTGGCTAAGTTGGATGGGTGCTGAAGTGCAAAGCCTGTTGAGGACATCAAATTGCTTATCCTACACTTGACTGTATCCATCTACTATTATGTTTTTTAAGCCTCTAGAAGCTATAGAGATCCCTATGGAGATGATAACCAGGACTGGCTATTTAAAATAATCTCTATACTTTTGTAAAAAAAAAAAAATCAGGCGTAGAGGAGACTTGATGATTGCCACAGAAAATATTCCACCTTCAGACATAGGACATAAAGATGGGACACTCATTGTGCACGTGTAGAGTTCTCCATCCCTTCCATCCCAGTGATCTTGGCTGCACTGAAATACCAGACAATGATGTTGCGTGCATTGGTGAGAATTCTTGCTCTAGTATGACCCAAAAATCAAAGTCAATGAGTGGATACTGAGAGAAGGGCAGCATTAATGATTTGTGATGGGTGTCACTTTAAAAAAAGAAAGAAGCTGCAACCTCAGCGCAACCTTGAACTCAAGTATCAGTCTTTTACTTCTTTCCTGTAAAAGACTGTCATTCATTCCTTATTATAGGAGGAACAGACCAGAGACTTTGGGGGGAAATTATGGTAATTAATAAAGACTGACCATACACTGCATGCCTTAATTTTCAGTAACTTAACTATTACAGGAGAGGAATTGCAGTCCCAAAAGACTGATGCAATATGCATGTCCCCTTCCCACAGAACTGGCACAAAGGTGAATGATCTTTGCATCTGTTGATGATCTGTATATGCGCACGGGCCTGTGCGCACCATATAGGTCTTTGTTGTAACAATTCCATGCTTAGTGCAGAAAATTATAAAAACGGAGGGAGATGTGACTTGATGTTCCACTTCTGAATTAAAATTGGAAAAGATTGGATTAGGACACAGTTCAGCAGGGATGTTTCCTTAGTACATAAAGCCTCTACCTCTGCTATTTGACCCATGGAGAAAAAACATAGTTTCCATATAATAGCATACATGATTTCCATCCTGGAGAGGGGTGGCAGCAAACTCTATTTCAAAGGGAGATCTCAAGAAAACAAAGTTAAACTCTCCTTTCCCACTCCTTTCCCACAGAGTTGGAAGGGATCTTGGAGGTCTTCTAGTCCAACCCTCTGCTTAGGCAGGAAATCCTACACCACTTCAGACAAATGGTTATCCAACATCTTCTTTAAAATGTCCAGTGTTGGAGCATTCACAACTTCAGGAGGCAAGTTGTTCCACTGATTAATTGTTCTAACTGTCAGGAAATTTCTCCTTAGTTCTAGGTTGGCTGATTAGTTTCCACCCATTGCTTCTTTTCCTACCCTCAGGTGCTTTGGAGAATAGCTTGACTCCCCTTTCTTTGTGGCAGTATGATAATCTGGTTTCTCTTGTGCATCCTTTTTTTTTAAGGTCAGCATAGCTCCTGATATTGGTCAGCTTGAGAGCAGGAAGTGAGGCCACTCATCCAATCACTTACCTTGGTTGTTTTAATTTTGTTTCCACTGCTGCATGACCAACCTGAGTAATCTGGAAGCACTTTACATTCTTCTCCTTCCAGACAAGGTTCCATATGACACCACCACTTCTGGATAACAATGGCAGCTGGAAAGCAAAAATGAAGTCATTTCAGAACAACATAGCAACAAATGGGACCCAGAAAATGCTGCTCGGAAGCAGCTAATAGCTACTGGATCTTCCCACCCTTGGCATCTCCAAATGTGTTGAAGCTGCAGGCCAAAAATCACACTAGATAGGAACTCTGGGAGTTTCATTGCCAACACAACTGAAAGTCTATGGAAATTCTCAGTCATGCAGGTCATGGTTGTCCCAAAGGTGTTTTTCCTCCACTTTTTTTTTCCAACTGGACTTTCTTGAAGACATATTTTTACTTGAAGACATTTCGCTTCTCATCCAAGTAACTTCTTCAGTTCTAATTAACTTGTGGGAAAAGGAAAAATCCTTTGAAGAGAACAAGATTCACATTCTTGACAGAGAGGAGCACAAGCTTGAAAGACGAGTCAAAAAAGCTATGGTGAAATTGAACAGAGACAGGGGAGCATGGCATCACCTATCTCTTACAGTGCAGTCCTTTCAGCAGTCCCACACTTTTTTGCACTCTGATTCAGGTGACTGGGGACACCACAAATTAATCCCAAGATGGTTTCAACAACTATCGGTGTTAGTTACTGGCTGACTGAGAAGAGTATAAATCATTTCCACTCTCCACCAGTTAGTTAGAACTGAAGAAGCTTCTTGAACGAGAAGCGAAAAATTTTCAAGAAAAGTCAAGAAATCAAATCCAGTTGCTGTTTGCAGAAAAGCATATTTGGGACAACACATCTGAAAAGGAAAGGCCCTTGCTATATTATGAAATCAGTGTAAGGAAGGATAATAAATTGCAGTTCATTCAACAGATTCCAATGAGAATATCCTCACCCCCTACCTTCTAATCCACTTAATAACTAAGGTTCTCTTGACAAAACAAGATCCAAAATGTTAAATGCTAGGGAAAAAAACATTTTAAAAACACATTTTAAAAAATCAATGTCAGTTAAAAACAACAAAACAGAAACAATATTTCTATGCACACAGAGAAATTGGCATTTTTATTTTATTTTCTTCTCCTGCTGAGTAGCCCCTGAGTAGCTGGAAATTGCTTCTGAAATTCTACGTTTTTTTTTCTTACAGTTGTTTGTGAAACAACAGTCAAGAATAAGTGCCTTAGGGAAGGGCGTTGAGGAAGTTGAGTCACCACAATTTCATGAATGAATTTTTAGGCCCAATTATTCTCATATGCATATCCTTAAGGACTTCCTCTAAGAGGCATTCTGTAAACAGTATCCCACTTCTCACATCAAAAGGATCTTCAAAAAGAATTCACACATCTCACACATTTTTTTTCAATTCTCCAAGCTATGGATTGAAAGGAACTGAAATGTATGCATTTAATTATTGATATTTGTATTCTGCTCTGGAGATTCTAAGCGGCCAAAATTCAGATAATCAGAAAGATTTAAAATATTTGAGACATTGGGTTGTTGTTGTTTTTAAAGATCTTTGTTCTGTGAAATAACAGGACCATTCGACTGCTCTGGAATTTGGAGGTAGGTACATTCCATAGAGATGGGATAGCTGTTGAAAAGAGCTAATTCTTCTGTTCTTGATCCTAGTGTGGAGGGATGCCTCAAGTTCAGAAGAATCCCTCATCACCTCAACACATTTTACTGCTTTGGTTCTGCCAATGTGGAGTCCAGATCTGAACAAGGTGGAGTCCAGTGAGCAATTATATATAAAAAAATGTTTGATCTTTCATATCAACATAAAGAAAGACCTTATGAGCTGTCCTTACTTGCTGCTGCTGGATGACAATCTGCTGCTCATTCCCTACCCAGAACCTTTCCTATATCTGTGCAGTCAACATCTCTTTTTTTCCATGTTCTTCTCTCACCATGGACACAATCAGAGGTGGGTTTCACATAATTTTACTACTGATTCACCGCACACCAAAAATGTGAGCACATGTGCCTTCTGCACACATGCTTTGCTCACACACGTGCCTTCCACACATATGCTTTGCTCACACACACGCTTTCTGTGCATGCACTTTGCTCACACATACGGTTTCCGCACATGCGCTTTGCTCACACGCACATGCCATCCATGCATGTGCTTTGCTCGCATATGTACCTCCCACGCATGTGCTTTGTTCACATACGCTCCTTCCACACATGCTCACAACTTAGAAAAAGTGGCTAAATAGGCCAGCATAGAGCAGGTTGCCACTACCAGTTCACCTGAACCTAGCTGAACTGGCTGAATACTACCACTGGACACAATCCTAATTTTGCATTCCAGGGAAGTGGATACAACTCTTTCCTCAACAAACCTCTGCCTCTTGCTCAAAGATTACAAGCTTATCACTTACTCTGGGTCTACCCATGACACACAATGACAAAATTCCAGGAGGGAGAGTGGCTAGTATTTGACAGTCTGATTTCCTCATCTGTAGGGGAAAGAGATCTCTTAGCCAGCTGTAAGAATTGCCTCCCATTTCCTCCTGTCCTTCCTTCCTTTCCTTTTGTGAATACTTTTAATAGATGTCTTGGTTTCTACAAAGTACAACTTGCTCCAGCAAACATCGCATAAAACAAATCCTCTGATTTAAGATTACAAACCTGGATCTAACCATTTCAGTAGGAGGAGTTGACTGAAATCAGGGCATGTTAATTCACATATTATCAGCAAATTCAATTTGCTGGAACTACATTGTGTATGTAGCTACACTTTTGATGTATGTGTATGTATATGGGATTCACTTACCTTCCCTACCGGTTCGCAAATGTGAGTGCGAGTGAGCGCTTGCTTCACTTGCTTCACTGCGCATGTGCACCACCCTCTGTACATGTGCAGTACTCACGCATTATGTCAGGGTAGGTTGGCGGAGCCTCCTGCAGCCATTGCTACCAGTTCACCCAAACTGGAGAGAACCAGCTGAATAATACCTCTGCATGTATAACCCCCCTGTGAGATGAATTGGTTAGGGTTAGGTGAATTGGTCTCAGAGAGAGAGTGACTGGCCCAAAGTCACCCAGCTGGCTTTCATGGCTAAGATGGGACTTGAACTCCCAGTCTCCCTCTTTCTAGCCTGGTGTCTTAACTAGACCAAAATGGCTTTCCAGTTTATTATCCAGTTTACTCTACTATCCAGTTAGGGAGTTGAAGAAGAAAAGGATAAAATAAAATTAAAAAATACCACTATCAAAGCTGCAAATGAATGGTGATAGGCTTTTGTCTTAGTCCCTTACTTCCCCCACCCTGTACTGGGAGGGAAAATTTAAATTGGTCTTGGACACGGATACTGCCATACAGAAAATATCTACAAGCTACTATAACTACTGATATTATTCCTACTTAAAGAGAATTCAAGGTAGCTTACTGTGATGTCTTTCAAATATTGGGTTTATTACAAGCTTGTGGTGTGTAGGTTGAGAGAGAAAGAGGGAGAGAGAGTGGCTCAAGGATACCCAGTGGTCATATGATAATTTGAAGCTACATTACCTTCAATCTAAGTCCTGAACACTAACCAATTTACTGTTTATGAAATGTGACTTATGAGTGCTGTTCCTACTTTTGATCTAAAATAGCTATATTGAAATCTATCCTTCATTATTAACCCATAACCCAAAAAGCTATTTTGGGGTTGTTCTTCAGAAAGTAGTACAAGGAAAGGACTTACCAAGCAGATCACTCAAGTAAATTTTTAATGCAACTGAGTGGTTAAAATGCTGGCCTAGAAACCTGGAGACTGTGAGTTCTAGTTCTGCTTTAGGCATTAAGGCTGGCTGGGTGATTTTGGTCCAGTCACTCTTTTTCAGGCCAAATCATTTCAAAGAGTTGTTGTTATGGGAAAAATAGAAGGAAAGAGAATTATGTATGCTTGCCACCTTGAGTAACTTATAAAGTAATAAAAGCATGATCAAAATTGATTAAACAAATGAAGTCAGCCTTGTGAAATATAGTCCAGATAAGAAGCACACATAAGTACTAGCTCTAATTTTATTATAAGATTAACAGAATAACAGAAGGGACCCTGGAGGTCTTCTACTCTAACCCCCTGCTCAAGCAGCAGACCCTATACCATTTCATACAAATGGTTGTCCAGTCTCTTTTTAAAAGCCTCCAGTGATGAACCATCCATAACTTTTAATACAAATACAACAGCAGAGTTGGAAGAGACCTTGGAGGTCTTCTAGTCTAACCCCCTGCTCAAGCAGCAGACCCTATACCATTTCATACAAATGGTTGTCCAGTCTCTTTTTAAAAGCCTCCAGTGATGAACCATCCATAACTTTTAATACAAATACAACAGCAGAGTTGGAAGGGACTTAGGAGGTCTTCTAGTCCAACCCCCTGCCTAGGCAGGAAACCCTATACCATTTCAGAAAAATGCTATCCAACATCTTCTTAAAACTTCCAGTGTTGGGGCATTCACAACTTCTGGAGGCAAGCTGTTCCACTGATTAATCTTTCTGACTGTCAGGAAATTTCTCCTCAGTTCTAAGTTCCTTCTCTCCTTGATTAGTTTCCGCCCATTGCTTCTTGTTCTACCCTCAGGTGCCTTGGAGAATAGTTTGACTCCCTCTTCTTTGTGGCAATCCTTGAGATTTTGGAACATTGCTATCATGTCTCCCCTAGTCTAGACATACCCAGTTCCTGCAACCGTTCTTCATATGTTTTAGTCTCCAGTCCCCTAATCATCTTTGTTGCTCTTCTCTGCACTCTTTCTCCACATCTTTTCTACATTGTGGTGACCAAAACTGAATGCAATATTCCAAGAGTGGCCTTACCAAGGCATTATAAAGTGGTATTAACACTTCACGTGATCTTGATTCTATCTGTCTGTTTATGCAGCCTAGAACTTTGTTGGCTTTTTTGGCAGCTGCTGCACACTGCTGGCTCATATTTAAATGCTTGTCCACTAGGATTCCAAGATCCCTCTCACAGTTACTACTATTGAGCAAGGTACCACCTATACTGTACCTGTACATTTCGTTTTTCTTGCCTAAATGTAGAACCTTGCATTTCATTTTATTAGATAGTGC